CCCCCAGAACCTAATGCCACAGCCCCCCTTGGGGGCCCCACGATCCCTGTGACCTCTGTGACCCCCAAGACCCCAGCAACAAGTGCTCCAGAGGCAGAGGTGGAGGCAGAGGGACCCCAAGGTGGGGAGCGCCAGTCCCCAACCAGGGTGGCTCCCTCCCGCAGTGGCCCAGGGAGCCAAGGTGGGTCGGGAGAGGAGGCTTCCCACGGCACCTGGTGGTTGTGGACATGGGTGGGCTGGGGTGGGGAGCCCTGCGGCAAGGACTGGAGCCCTGGCCTGCCACCCCTGCAGTGCTCACCGAGGCCGGGCAGCCCTGCAGGTTCCCCTTCCGCTACGGAGGCCGGATGCTGCACTCCTGCACCCTGGAGGGAAGCGCCCGCAGGAAGTGGTGGGTCCCAGGTGGGGCGGAGGCTGATGCCCCCCGGGTCTGGCTCGCTGGAGAAGAGTGGCTGGAGCTCCAGGCAGGGCCAGGAGGGGTGGGCCTATGGCCTGGACCCACTGACCCCCAGCATTGCTTCCCAGGTGTGCGACCACTCACAACTATGACCGGGACAGGGCCTGGGGCTACTGTGTGGAGGTTGTCCTGTCTCTGGAGGACCCAGGTGGGTGCAGGGTGTGGGGTGCGACAGCCTGACCCCAGCTAAGAGGGGCTGAGGTGGGGTGTGTGAGCGGGGGGTGCCAGGGTCCCAGTGCTGAGTGGGGGTAGGACCAAGGGAGACAGCTGAGCTGGGCAGGGGTCCTGCCTAGTGTGGAGGAGCGGCTGTAATTTGACCCTGGAGATGGCTGCCAGCCAAGGAGCCAGCCGCCCTGGGTCCAGCGTGGGCACCTTTTCAGGTAGGGCTTCGCCTTCTCTGTGGCTGGGGCGCCCCCTCGTGGCAAAGGCCAGCCTCTGGCCACAGACAAGCCCTGGACAGTCGCAGGGTGGGGCCAGGTGGCCCAGGGCATGAGGCTGGAGGTCTGGGGCTCGTGAATCTCTGGGGACATGGCAGGGGACCGCGCTGCCTGACAGTGTTGGTGCCAGCTTCTAGGATGCCACGTGCAGAACCATGGGGCACCTTGCCCAGGTGCCAGGTAGAGGGCTGGAGAGAAAAGGGAGGCCTGTGTCCCCCCCTGGGGACCTGCACCCTCAGGACCCAGAGGGAGCAGCTGGAAGTGGAGGCCCACGGAGGCCCTTGGCAAGCAGCGGAGTCATAGAGGGACCCCGAGGACTCTTGGCCTCATCACAACCTCTCCTGACCATAGCTGCCCTTGACCCCTGTGCCTCCCGGCCTTGCCTCAATGGGGGCACGTGCTCCAGCACCCAAGACCCCGTGTCCTATCATTGCACCTGCCCCCTGGCCTTCACTGGCAAGAACTGCAACATCGGTGAGTAGGCCCTGGGGGCCCGGGGGCCAGGGGGCCAGGGGGCCAGGGGGCCATGGGGGCCATAGGGGTCATGGGGGCCATGGGGGTCAGGGGTCGGGGGCGCCCTGGAGGCCATGGGCCTGGAGCCAACCAGGGAGGGTGGAGAGTGGTTGGGGGGCCCAAGGTGGGGTCCTGCCTGGGCTGTGGTGCAGGGAGTAGGGGCTCACTGTGTGGCCCCCAGGGAAGTGCTTCGACGAGACCCGCTACGAGTACCTGGAGGTGGGTGACCGCTGGGCCCGCGTGCACCAGGGCCTCGTGGAGCAGTGTGACTGCGTGGACGGCCAGGCCCGGTGTGAAGATGCCCACCACACAGGTACACCGTGGCCAGCCCCGGGCCAGCCTGGGCCCCACGGTGAGGGTCAGTCATGTACCCCGACAGGCCTTCCTTCCCCACCCAAGCAGAAGGGACTTACCCGAGGCCACCCAGCAGCAAGGGCACAGGAAGGACCAGGGCCCTGGCCCCTGCAGGAGCTCGAGGCTGGGCCTAGCTTCTGGGCCCTTCTGCAGCTTGCCTGAGCAGCCCATGCCTGAACGGGGGTACCTGCCACCTGATTCTGGGCACCGGGACCAGCGTCTGCGCCTGCCCGCCAGGCTATGCTGGGAGGCTCTGCAACATTGGTGAGTGGGTCTGGCCCCCTGCCCTGGGAGCAAGCCTGGGGGTGGGGTCAGGGAGGCCCCGCTGTGGGTGGCTTCACACCTGTCCTGTGTGGGAGCCTCATCCACACCTGCTGTGCTCTCAGTGCCCACAGAGCGCTGCTTCCTGGGGAATGGCACTGAGTACCGTGGCGTGGCCAGCACTGCGGCCTCGGGCCTGGGCTGCCTGGCCTGGAACTCCGACTTGCTGTACCAGGAGCTGCACGTGGACTCGGTGGGCGCTGCCGCCCTGCTAGGCCTGGGCCCCCACGCCTACTGCCGGTCAGCACCCGGTGGCCACCACAGGCACCTTGCTCTGAGTGGGTGGGTGGCTCCCAGGACCCAGCTGGGACCAGCACTGCCCAGATGGCCTGATAGCCTCTGCCCAGGAGGCTGGGCAGAGACGCTCTGGCTGGGGTCTGCGGAGCGAGCACCGTTGCTCTGGGTGTGAGGAGCCCCGGGCCTGGGTTCCCAAGGGTTCCCCTATCCCAGCCCTCTCTGAGTGGCAGTGTGACTCCTGTCCCCTGCAGGAACCCGGACAAGGATGAGAGGCCGTGGTGCTACGTGGTGAAGGACAACGCGCTCTCCTGGGAGTATTGCCGCCTGGCCTCCTGTGGTGCGAGGGTGCAGGGCACAGTGGGGTGGTGCTGCCTGAGGCCCTGAGACAGGAGGCCAGGGGACAGGTTGACCCTGGGGCGGCTCCCAGTGGCCCCATGCCCCAGGACTGCCCTCTGGGGTCTCTGGCTCTCCTGGGGTCGGTGGTGGTGTCCCAGGCTGCAGGGGAGACAGGAGCACCCGAGGGTGCTGGCCACTCTGTGGCAGATCCTGTGGGCGGTGTTCTCCTCCCACCCTAGGGGAGGAGACTGAGGCTCAGAGGGGGCCCATGCCCAGAGCAGGGGTGGGCTGAGGAGGCCCTCCCTGCCCTGGGGAACCCTGTGGAGGTGACCTGGTAACCTCTGCTCCAGAATCCTTGGTCAGAGTCCAGCCCCCGCCCCCTGAGGTCCTGGTGACCCTGCCAGAGCCAGCCCCAGCTGGACGCCCAACCTGTGGCAAGAGGCACAAGAAGAGGACATTCCTGCGGCCACGGATAGTGGGCGGCTCCTCCTCCCTGCCTGGCTCCCACCCCTGGCTGGCTGCCATCTACATAGGGGGCAGCTTCTGTGCTGGGAGCCTCATCCACACCTGCTGGGTTGTGTCTGCTGCCCACTGCTTCTCCAGTAGGTGAGTGGCCCTGGCCCCGAGCCCAGCCCACAGGGCCACGGATCCCAGCCATCCCCCACCCCCACCCACATCCCACTCTGCCATTCGCTGCTCTTGCACCCACTGCCCGCCACAGGACCGCCACGCTGGCCTCCATCCCATTCCGGCCCTACCCTGCACACTCCAACTGCCGTCACCACGCCACCGGTCCTGGGCCTCCGTGGGCCTTTCCACCTGTCCCTGCCGCCTCACTGGGACTTGGTGCTTGGCCTCGTGCTGAGCGCTGAGGCTCCAGAGACCTCGGCGTTATTTGGGAGGCCCTGGGACAGGGTGGAGGGCTCCTGCAGAGGCACCAACAGATACGTGCGGGCCTCTGGGTAGACCCCCCGAGCCCAGCTCCAGGCAGGGTTGGGAGGAGAGAGGGAACGACTGCCTCCTCCTATCACCAAGGTGCTTGAGGGGCGCCCAGCTGGTAGGGACAGGGCAGTGACAAGACTCTTTGGAGCCTCCGGGAATCCCGCCGGACAGGAGAAGCTCTGGCCCACTCTGGGCTCCCAGCAGCCCTCCTGCCTTCCACCCAGGGAAGGAAAGCCCGGGTCCCACTGTCCAGCCTGGAGGGCAGAAGGGAGCAGACAGGCCCCTTCTCACCTTGTGCCCCTGCCAACAGGGTCCAGGGGGACTGTGCAGGTCCTGTCCTGAAGAGGAAAACTGAGGCCCAGACAGTCGGGGGCTGACACGGGGCCTGGGCTCTGTGTCCTCCAGTGGCGAGGGGCGTATCTGGGACCCCACAGACCAGGTCCAGCTGGGACAGGGCCTTCAGTAGGACAGGTCTCCACCGACCTGGGCAGTCTCAGCACATCGGCCTGGGTGCCCGTGGGTGTCACTGGGCTGTTGGAGATAGCACAGCACACTGTGGCTCCTGGGCCCAGGCCTGGGGTGGCTGCAACCCCACCACTCCTCTCTCCAACTCACTGTCCAGTGGACTAGCGAGGGCCACTGCAGGCCTCTCCCTGGGGCTGTGGGCCGCACCTCAGCCATGGCTGAGCAGCCATGGCCAGTGAGGCCCAGTTCCAGGTGGGGGTGCTGACCAAGTGGCCTGAGGAGAGGTCCAGGTCTGTGTGCCACCAGGACCTCCGACCCCACACAGTCCCCCCAGGGAGAGTGTCTCGGTGGTGCTGGGCCAGCACTTCTTCAATCGCACCACAGACGTGACCCAGACGTTTGGCATCGAGAAGTACATCCCCTACTCCCTGTACTCGGTGTTCAACCCCAGTGACCATGACCTTGGTGAGCTCCGTGGCGCAGCAGGGTGGGTGTTCTCTGTGCACCCAAGCCAGAGCAAGGACAGGGCAGGGGCCACTGGCCGGGCAGACACTGGGGGCTAGAGGAGGAGGGGTCTGGGCAGGGCAGCCAGGGTGCCTGTTGTGGCCTCCATGGCTGGAGGGAGCCTGGCCTGTGACTCAGTCCATCCTGGACCCCTCCTAGGCTGACCTCTGACCTCTCTCCTGCTCAGTCCTGATCCGGCTGAAGAAGAAGGGCGAGCGCTGTGCTGTCCGCTCCCAGTTTGTCCAGCCCATCTGCCTGCCCGAGCCTGGTGTCTCCTTCCCCCCTGGACAAAAGTGCCAGATCGCAGGCTGGGGCCATGTGGACGAGAGTGAGTGGGGGACTGCCCCGAGCCAGCCCGGGGGAGCAGCGGCCAGCCATAGTGAGCTGGCCCACGCTGAAAGCGCCGTGCCCTGCAGATGCAAGCAGCTACTCCAGCTCTCTACGGGAGGCACTGGTGCCCCTGGTCCCTGACCACAAGTGCCACAGCCCTGAGGTCCATGGTGCCGACATCAGCCCCAACATGCTCTGCGCCGGCTACTTCGACTGCAAGGCCGACGCTTGCCAGGTGAGCTGTGCTGCCCAGTGGGACTGGACACGTGGGGTTGGTCGACCTGCTTGCCCCTTGGAGCTCCGAGCTGGAGGGGTCCTGGACAGAACTTACACCCACTGGGCTGGTGGCCAGCACCCCAGGATGGCTGGCTGCCTGGCCCCTCTAGAGAGGGCAGGTGTCTTCAGAGCCCTGTCCTCAAACATATGACAAGAGGCCTCAGGCCACACCAGTAAAGCTCAGGTTCGCCCAGTGGCTAGGGGCGCCACAGGATGTCAGTTGCCCAAGGCCACCCATGGCCCTTTGCCCAGATGTCTCTCAGACGTGCTCATTGCTCAGGCCATTAACCAGTAGCTAAGGTCTGTCCCCTCCGCGGCCTGATCCCGTTCATGCTCAACAGGGCCATCTTGGGAGGACTGCTCCGCAGGCCAGGTCCTAGGTGGGGAAGCAGCCCAGGCCAGATCTCTTCTGAGTTTGCAGGGCTTAGTGTGGAGGGGGCTGGGGCTGGGCAGGGACACATGGTGCCGAGCTGTCAGGGAGGGCTTCCTGGTGTGTGGGGTGAGTGCCCTTGTCCTGAGAACCGCACAGGCCTTGAGGGCAGCAGGGAGCATTTCAGGTGGTGGGAGAGGCAGGTGCCCACATGGGGAGTGCTTCTGGGCAGGAGAGGGCGGCCAGGTTGAGAGTGTGCTGCTGGTGGAGGTGAGGGGCAGCCGCAGGCTGCAGGAGGCGGTGGCGAGGGGGCTCCCCTGGACTGGCAGAGCTGGCCCTCCGGGGCCAGGGAATGAGGTGACCTGTATGTGAGGTCTCTTCCTCAGAAATGCCCTTGCTCTCTGTCCCCATGCTGCCAGACAGCCTTCTGGGGCAGTTCTGTCACCAGCAGAAGACACTTCCTGAATTGGGTGGGGGTGTGGAGCTGCTGCTCCGTGTCCCTGAGCCAGCTCCCAGCCACGTCTCTGCCCAGGGTGACTCGGGTGGGCCCCTGGCCTGTGAGAAGAACGGGGTGGCCTACCTGTATGGCATCATCAGCTGGGGCGATGGCTGTGGGCGCGGCAAGCCAGGCGTGTACACCCGCGTGGCCAACTATGTGGACTGGATCAGTGACCGGATACGGCCTTCCAAGCGGCCTGCGGCGCCCTCCTGAAGCTCAGGACAGCCGTCCTTTCCCACTGCCTGCCTCACTGACAATAAAGACCTCTCCTGGCACCTCCTCTGCGACTCCTGCCTCCCCGGCTCTCTTGGGCCACAGCTTGGGCCAGTGGCTGCAGATGGGTCCTCAGTAGAGATGGGAGCCTGCAGCCCCCAGGAGGGCCTGGCCCCGTGGCCCAGCAACTCAGGCAGGGGATTAGGGCCCTGGCAGCATCCAGGCCACACCCACCGCAGGGCCAGCTGCAGACAGCTATGTGGTCAGGTCCAGGCACCCTGGGTGGTCGCAGGGCAGCACATGGGAAGCAAGTCCAGGCCTCAGGCTGTGGACAGGGGCCTGAGCCAGGCAGTGGGGGAATGCTAAACCCCCAGGCAGACAGGGCACAGCTGCTGGACGCCTTTCAGCTTCAAGATGGCAGCCTGGCTGGGAGGGAGAGGGGAGAAAGGGACCGTGGGCAGGGCTTGCTGCCAGCACAGAGTTCACAGGAGCCGGCCCTGACTCCAGCCAGGCAGGACGCCGAGGCTCATCTGAAAGGAAGGGGGAGGTGGGCCGGAAGCCAGAGAGGGTGCTGGGTGAGGGGAGGCCCCAGGGGCTGTGGGGAGCTGGGTCCACCCGGGCTCCCAAAGTCCTTGGCATTAACCCCCCCTGTGCGTGAGGGGCAGGACAGTGAGGTTCCGTGGAGCAAGTCAGGGTGGGGTCCACGTGGGCCAAGGCCAGGCTGAGGCCAACGGACCCCTGGGAATGGAGCCAGAAGCCAGGGGAAGGCCAGTTTCCTGCCCCCTACCTGTGGCCTTGGGAAGGGCAGCAGATGGCTGTGCTCAGGGCACTGCCTGGACCAGGTTTGCCACGGGCAGTTTCTCCCAGTGCCCGCTGGTGACCTCCCTCCCTAACCCTTCCTTGCCCTTGCCAGCCTCCTGTGACAGGCAGGGCCTCTCTCCTGGCCACCACGGTGCCCGGCCTACACCTGTGGGGTCTGCACACCTGCCCCTTCTGTGCTGCCGCCCGGGGTCCGTCCCCCTCTGTGCTGGTCAGACTGCACCCCTCACTCAGGCCACCGGGCGGGGTCCTCAGGGGGCTCCGCACTGGGCTGCTACTTGCCTGGAGGGCTCACAGGGCCACAGCTAGCTACAGAGGGAGTGAGGCAGGAGCAAGACCGGTCAGCCCTCTGCTGAGGCCTCAGTGGGCTGGACGTTCACTGCCCTAGGAGGTCAGAGTCTGAGCGAGGGAGAGCGCTGGCCCTGGGAGGGCAGCAGCTGGGCCAGTCTTGGGGCCTGGGCCTCCTGGGCTGATGAACATGGGCTGCGGGCGACCCCACCACCACAGGTTGGCCACAGTCCTGGCGGCAGCCAGAGTGATGAGGGTGAGCACGGTGTTCCCAGAGCTGCACAGTGGGCGCTCCTGCCCACAGGGTGGTCTCCTGATGTGACCGCTGTCCTCCAGTCAGCTGAGTGGGCTGAGGCAGGTGACTTCCCAGTGGTGAGTGGCTCTCCCACCCTGATGCCACCACAGGCCCAACACCAGGGACCCAATCAGCATCCACTTGATGCCTCCCTGCGACTGGGCCTTGGGACTGACCAGCACCAGTGACAGGGGCTATAGTCTCTGTGCCTGGGGGGCCCTGGGAGCCAGCAGGAGGTCAGAAGTGTTTCATGTGCCCTCAGTGCTGAAGCTGGACTGGGCCCTGGGATCATGTGCCATCACCTGGTCCCAAGGCTGCTGACCGGGCCTATGTTTGGAGGTGGTCTTTACACAAATGATGTCACCAGGGTGCGTCCTCATCCAGTCCCACTGTGACCTCCTAAGGAGAGGGGATGGGGACACAGACACTTGGAGGAGTCCTGGGAGGGTGTAGGAAGGAGTGGCCCTGTGCAGGCCCAGACCCGGAGCTGCGTATGCCATGGCCTGGACACCCGGAGCCCAGCCTCTAGATCTGGGAACCCTCCACCCACACGTCCCTGCAGCAGCCCCAGCAGACGAGTGCCCAGTCTGGCCGTGTCCCTCACTGAAGGACACTGCTGTTCTCCAGACTAGTGGCCTCCCCCAGCATCCTGGTACGGCCAGTCTTCAGGTCGGGCAGAGGTGCCTGCTTCTCTTCATGACTGCCCAAGGTCACTAAGCTGTCCCTGTGGCCCACCTCACCAGGCCTTTGTTAAAAAGCCTCTTTGACAGTCCCTCCATGCGCCAGCCTACTGGGGCCCTGGAAGACACAGGAGGCATCGTTTTTTCTCAATTCTTAAATCTGCCTGTGCTAAGCTTGGGGGTTTGCATTTGCGTTTAGGAGTGAGAGTGACCTACACTCTTACGTTCTTGGAGTTACTGTCACCAGGCTCATGGAATAAGACTGAGAGTTTCCCTTTCTTAATCAAATCCTCGGCGATTCTGTGTGAGGCTGAGGGTCCTCTGGACATGGAAGGCACCATGCAGTTTCCTGCCTGCCGTTCTCTTTACAGGATGTCGGAAGCTACTCATTCAGAGCTGGAAGGAGTTCTGGGCCATGGCCCTATGGAAACAGTGACGGCTGGGGATTTCATTTCTTCTTGAGCTAGTTAAAGGAAGTCATATTTTTATGAATCTGTCTCATTTTTCACATGTATTACCATAAAGTTGTTTATGTTGTCTTAGGCTGTTTTCTGTCGCTATCACTGATTCCCGAGACCCAGTAGTTTTTGAATAAGAGAGGTCTATTTAGCTCAATGTCCTGGCAGCAGCTCAGCAGCTGGTGAGGCAGGGCCTCCCCCAGCGAGACGGGCAACTGCCGCAGGGTCTCTTCTTCCTCTCCTTATGAAGCCACTAAGGCTACGCGGCCTGTGCTCACGGCCTCCCCTCCCCTCCTACCTCCCCATCACGGCCACCCGAGGTCTGAGGCTGGCTCCACACATGGACCCCACGGGGGCCGCGGCCCCGCCAGGCTGCCTAGCTGTGGCTCTGACGCTCGGGAACACAGCTCGGGCTTGGTTTCCAGTGGACGCTGACTGGGTCTGTTGGCCTGGGGCCTGTGGTGGTGCCAGTGTGGGAGAGCCACTCGCCTCCTGGCTGGGACACAAAAGGGGAGGCAGGGGCTGCGTCCCAGTGACCCTGAGGTCTGCACCTAAAGGTCCCAGGGCTGTGTGGAGCTGGAGGGCAAAGGGGGGCTCCTGGAGCAGAAGCCAGGCCCGGGCAGGGGATGGGCAGCGAACCTGGGTGGATTGTGCTCCATGTGTGCGAAGTGACCACAGTGACGCCCACACGTTGCTCTGCATAATCAATATGCACCAATAAAATACTAAATTAAAAAGGTGCACCACACCCAGCAGTGCCCAGGCTGGGCAGCAGGACCATCCGCCCAGCCGTAGTGGTTGTCATAGCAGAAAAGAGCAGGGTTTGTCGGGGGCTGGAGGCCACTGGGGTGCTGGTGACTGTGGGTGCAGCAAGCTGCCGCAGGCTGCTCCCTGCTGTGTCCTTCTGCAGCCGTCCAGCAGGTGCAGGAGGGAGGGGCTCAGGGGTCCTTGTTGTCCCAGCAGGTGCCAGGCTGTGGGCCGGCGTCCACTCAGGCCTACGGCACCCTTGCACTCAGGCTGAGGCCAGAGCACTGACAGATGGGGTTTAGTTTTTTTGGTGGGGGGCCACTGGTCATTCTTCATCTCACCAGGTGACCAGGGGAGAGTGGACAATGGCACGGGGTGTCTCACGGCCAGGTGTGGAAGTGGTGGTCATCATTTTTGCCCACTCTCCACTGGCCAGAGCTGTTCACATGGCCCTGCCCAAGGAAGGGCAAGCAAGTGGGTAGACAGGGGCACAGTGCCTGCCCTGGTCAGCTGGAGATGCTCGCACAGCAGCCTGGCCCGGTCCTCCCAATCCTCCTCCTGTGTGTGAAACCATGGTGACTCTGGAAGAC